TTCAACTCAACAACTTTCAAACTATCTTCCAACCACTCATCATTTAAAAAAATTTCAAACACAACCTCTTTTCAAGATTAAAAAGAAAGAGAGAGCGAGAGAGAGAGAGAGAGAGAGAGAGAGAGAGAGAGAGAGAGAGAGAGAGAGAGAGAGAGTCAAGTCTTTGACTCACTCTCCCAATCACTTGGGCTCAAGGAGCCTTTCTTAAGCCTCGAGTAATCGTCCTCCAAAACAAACTTCAACATATTAATCCCTTCTTTTCGTGGTCGTGTCCACGAACTATGAACGCTCTAATTCTTCATTCATTTGAATGTAAGATACGTAGGCATAAGATTGCGATGATCTTGGCAAGCTACCTTCCCTCCATATTCTATTTCCCCCCTCTATCCTTTCCTGTAGTCGAACTATGAAAGCTCTGATTTCTCATTCTCTTTTGAATGAGCCTGCATAGGCACAAGGCCTCAATCCTTGCCGAGTACCCTATCCTAAAACCACCCATTTTCCCCTTAGCATTGCCTCTTTTATCCTACTGTTTCTCATTTATCATTGAGAAGAAAACAAACAAGCTTAGATAATGCTCATCACAAATCGAACTAAAAGGTTCCCATTGAGTACAACATACGTAAGGGGTGCTAATACCTTTCCTTTACGTAACCGATTCTCGAACCCAGAATGTGGTTGCGATGACCATGTTCTTATCTCTTTAAAGGTTTTCTCAATATTTTCCTTTCCCTCTTTTGGGATAAATAAAGTTTGGTGGCGACTCTATCGAACCGCATTCTGTGTCGTTCGTGCGAGGGTCGTATTTTCTCAATTGTGTGTATTTTTTGAGGTGCGTTAGCTGGCGACTCTGCTAGCGATGCATTGCTCCATGCAAGAGAGAGTTGAGCCTATCTTAGTTTGAATTGTAAGCTCGTTAGCTACGCTTATCTGTTTTCTTCTCATTTATTCCCTTATTTATTTGCTTTCCTATTCCTTATTTATCTTACCTTTTGTGATATTGTTGGACTACTATGCTTATAGGTACTTTGTGAGATGGCTCTATACCCGAGTCCAAGTAAAACCCTAAGATCAGGATGGTGGTTGTGTAGTGGAGACTTGCGTGAAATCTTTTGCGTGAGGCCGAAGCTAAAACCCCGCTTGGAGTAGATTCCCTTGAAGATGTTATTGTTATGGTGAGTCTTTGCCATGACAATAATATTTTCGAGCCTGAATCGTTGATCCCAAGGACCATTAACCCATTTCATCCATGGTGGTTGGTAGTGTTAACTCCTTTTGGGTTAATACGAACGCCCCAATCAGACGAGGTCCATTGAACGTATTACTTCCCGACAGTAATATTTTCAACCTCGATCTATGACTTTGATAACCTTTCTTAGAACCCGTGTATCGATGGTTTTGTAGTTGACACTTCCGAGGAGTCAATTTGATCCATCAACATAATCAAAAGTTCAAAAATCAATTTTATCTAATTTTGATTTTGTGATCAATCATATTAAGGTAGGATTCAAACTCATGACCTTCCACACTCACGACTCCTTACACTCAAGTCCTTATCAAATGGGTTATTCCAATCATTCATAGTAAAATGTCGCTAAAACTAATAATAATACTAATAATTCTTCGAAAAATATAATTTAATAATAGTTTAAAACCCGCAAATTTCTAATAATAATAATAGAAGTTATACCCCTTTAATATTAATAGTAGACATATTAATATTTTTCATATTAAATTAGTCATAATTTTCTTTCTAATGAAAATTACATGTTAAATAATTAAAAAAACTATAGATCCTAGAATAACAACCAAACCTTTAATGTAAGATCAAACCCCTTAAGAGAGAATAAGAAATCAAAAAGGAACCCCTTGTCTATTTAGGTCATTGAGAGTGACCAGAGGACTTGTAAGGATGTTGGATACGTTAATGATCTAATTTTTAAGTGAGATGAAAAAAATAACCAAATTTTGGGGTACGACATTGTGATTGAACAAGTGAAGTCTCTTGGTAGTTTGCTTGAGCAAAGTGTAATGAGTTTGATTATAGTGAAAATATTGTGTTGAAACAATAAGATTAGACAACTCTCTGTTTAGGAGAGGAACCAATATAACTCTGTGTGTTTCTTTACTTCTTGCTTTTTATTATTATTCATTCTGTTGCTAACATCTCTGATTAGATTCTGAACTTGTTCAGATTCTAAAGTTGATATTCAGAAATGAAAAAAATTATAATACACAATTTAACCCCTCATTCTTGTGTATTTTTCTCACCTTCAGGGAGTGTCATCCACAAAGCGTCTTGCCTGTATGACTCATCTACCCATCTCCACTACATACCGACAAACCGCCGTCAAGCTCTCGGTCTGCTCATCCTAAACCTCAAGTATCTCCAAGTTAGCTGACTTAGGTGGTCTTCCAAGAGCGTCTAGTATCATGATAAGGTATGTCACTCTATAGAACCATGCCATGTAACCCTCAACATAGGCCCAATGTACATGAGATGACTCATGACGATACTCCTTTAGTACTATGTGTCTTTCAAAATTATCCAATATCACTTGTAGATCTCTGCGGGGACGAGGGGAGAAGCGGACTCTTAGGGATATCTCAAAATATTATACAAGTAGCCATACTGGCACATCACTCGCTCAGGAAAATAAGGATACATCAGAAATGGCCCACATGTCAACCATCTAGAGTTTAAGGAAATGACGTCAAACTGGTGTGTCTGGCGATGACTCTCGTGTGGGAAGAAGCAAATATCATCTGGTACCATATGGTAAAGAGAGACTCTAAATGGCTCGACCGCGCCATTCCCTCTGTACGAAACAAAAGCGGTTGCACACGGTCAGTCTTCATTGTAGGCAAACGTAACTTCAAACCTGGTGATGTAAGGGAAATGGAGATGATCCATCCTTGAAAATGGTTCGGATACAATATTAATAACATGTGTAACAAATGGATTATGGAAATATTAGTAACAATAAATTACCGTAAGAAGCGTGCAACTACTTGTCATCTGCTTTGTCTTCTAAAGACAACTCTCGCCCATCTTCGTGTATTATAGTCAGGTCGATGAAGTACTTAAGGTATACCATATTGACATAGGCTGCACTTTTGTTCAGAAACATGGACGTGCCAACCGGGAACAAGAGGTAACACCTCAATGTGCAATGTCGATGGTACTCAACATGCACGTCATCACCTTCGACGTCCAAGGCCCCCTGCGAATGGCCTTTATAAAGCTTTTCCAAAAAAAACTAAATCTCGCACGAGAACCTCTAGTGTCACGTGCGACCTTAGCAGGATTAGTCACCAAATGGCGCACCATCATGTCAACCCTTTCCTCTCGCTCGATCATCCTATGGTTCAGTAATCTCCCCTTGTTAGAAAGGTGCATGAGGCATGAGACGTCATCCAAGGTGATGGCCATCTCGCCTATAAGTAGGTGGACAAATAATGTCTATGAATTCCACCTCTCAGTAAAAGCCACCACTATGTCGTGGTTTATGATCATGTAAGCCGAAGAACATAAAATGACAAGCCCCATAATAGCGAATAACATCAACGAACCAAGCAACAATGGGTTGTGGTAGCTCCAAAATATTCTTGTTGTGGTTAAATTTTTTTTAACAATCACGCTCTTGTAAAAAGAAAATATAATCGTCAGTATGGATTTAATTAGTCGACAACATATGTATTGCAAAAGAAAAGAAATACATCTTTATGCTAGACATGTCTAGCACCATGGACTGCATAAAGAATAAGTAAGGAGGTGTGAAATGGGTTTGGGTAACTCTTTAATGGGGCATCAGGATCGACAACGGCTTCCTTCTAGGACTCAGGGTTAATACGGGCTTCAGGAACTTCAGGTTTTGCCGCATCATATGTCTGAGAGGACTGAGACAGAGGACTACGGGAACTAGACGGTCGGTCGCAAAGTAGATGCACCATCAAACGAGTTATCAGTAACTCGTGGCCTCGTGGTCCTCGCTGCCGCAATCCTCTCTCATCGTACCGATGCAGTTTGGGACACACATTCCGAGCCTAATTTGACCAGCGTTGTTTTCAATCATTGCACATGCGTTAGAAACAGGTACATATATAAATAACATGTTAGGAGAAATTCAAAAATTCCACAAAATCCTCCAAATTTTTGCTCGAGTACAATCCGGAGATGCATCTTTGAAAACTATGTAGAGGAAATCCGAAGATGCATCTTTGAACAAACTTGCGATTTTTCTTCCATGGCAACAACCTATTCTCTGCCATACCAGTCCCAAAAACACTCAATGCATGTTTGAGATAGCCTGACATTTCGTTTACACTACTGTCTATCATACCTAATACATCTAATGTAGCCTAAACAACTATCTACAAATCAAAAATTAAAAAGAGATTAAATTTTAAAATATTTGCCTAATACAAATGATGAGAAGTAGCTTGAATGTTTGAGATGTTGAAAATGATGAGAAGTTTCAATGTTGCAGTGCTCCAATGAATGATGTTTGGTTGAGTGGATGAGAATGTTCAATGTTGCGGTGCTTAAGAGCTATTTTGAGAACGTTTTGAGAAAATGTAAAAGAAGGAAGATAAACAATCTGACGTGAGATATGAAACAAAAACGTTCGAAGATACATCTCTAAACCACCCACTAACTTTTGAATAAATAATATTTATATAAATATATCTTCGAACACATCTTTTACGGAGAAAAAAAATACATCTCAAAATTATATTTTACCGTCAAAGAAATGTCTCTTTAATTTTATCTAAGAAATTATTAAAATTATTGCATTCTGAGATATACTTTTAATGTTGGTGCGGGATAAATATTGTCCTAAATGAAATGGACATACATTTTTAGTGAAAACCCCAATTTGCCCTCACCATGAAAAGGGCTATTCATTTCACGTCTACCTCAGCCTCTCAGTCTCTTTCTCATCTGAAGCTCAAAACTCAAATCAAACCTCAAAAAGTGTAAACACTTAATTGAACAAATGGGAACCCTCGGAAGAGCCATATACACCGTCGGCTCATGGATTCGAGGAACCGGACAGGCCATTGATCGCCTCGGTTCCCGCTTCCACGGCGGCTATCACATCGAAGAACAGCGTTAGTCTTCTTCTTCCTCCTTTTTCCCTAATTCAATTTCAATTTCTCTTTTCCCTTATCGTATTTTCTTCATTGATATGCAAATTTCATCTTAGATTGATTTACCACTTCGTTATTCTTTTCTGCAATTTTCATTCGGTATCATGATTTCTGTGCTATTTACTGTTTTGCCATTCTGCTGTGAAATGTATTGAGTAGTTTTTTTCATTGTTGTGTTTAGTGTCTAGACATAGAACTCTGCTGAACATATTTGACAAGGCTCCTGTTCTTGATAAGGATGTGTTTGTTGCACCGAGTGCCGCCGTTATTGGAGATGTGCAGATTGGAAAGGGGTCGTCGATTTGGTATGGATCTGTATTGAGAGGTAATGGAACTCAATTCGCCAATTAGATATGAATTGTATGTCATTTGGTTTGAATTTTCGGATGCTTTTGCAAATGCAATCAAACATTTTGTTGTAATGCTTCGTGGGTATGTTTAGATTTGTTTATTTGAGTTTGTCTATTACATAAGAATTTGTGAGTCTGTTTGAGAGTGCTTGCAATTGTAAACGTATCCATAAGTTGTTTTTAGCTTATTTCTATAAGCTCTATAGGACAACTAATGAAAACAACTTCTATCTTAGTTTGACTTTATTTTATCCTTTAGTATAAGATAAAAATAAAGATCTCGAGATTAACAATTTGGATAGAAGCATGGTCCTAGATAGAACATTATGGTGAAAGTTGATTCATGTAGCCAGCCTCACTTAGTAGGATAAGACTTGGTTGTTGTTTTTGTTGTTGTTATAAGATAAAAATAGCTTATACATTAGTACTTATATTTATAAGCTCTGGATTAAGTTGTTCATCCATACAAAACCAATTTTTTATGAGATACATTTATTGTAAAACGAAGACAACAGCTTTGTGCAACTCCAACAAAAAAGTGTCTTTCTTATATTTTAAAACACTGTTTTCAAGGAAGTTGCATTGTTCTGATCTTCTAAAGTTGATTAAATGTGAAATCTTTGTGAGTCTCTGTTTCTTTACTTAGAAATTTATGCGGAAATCTTATTCAAACTTTACTTTACGAATAGGTGATGTTAACAGCATCAGAGTTGGAAGTGGAACTAACATACAGGATAACTCCCTGGTGCATGTTGCAAAGTTAAACGTAAGTGAGAAGGCGTTGCCTACTATAATCGGGGATAATGTTACCGTAGGTAAGTAATATTTTTCCACGATCAACAATGTGCTACATTCTACAATAAAATGAAATTTCAAATGGAAAAAATTTCACTGAGCAGGTCATAGTGCTGTTTTACATGGCTGTACTGTTGAGGATGACGCTTTTGTTGGTATGGGTGCAATTCTACTCGATGGTGTAGTTGTTGAGAAAAATGCCATGGTTGCTGCTGGAGCCCTTGTGAAGCAGAATACAAAGATTCCATCTGGCGAGGTATGTCTATGGCGTGTTCTGTCTGATTACCACTTAACACAGATTAGGATTATGTACCTGTTAGTCTTTAGCTGTTTTTGCAAATAGTTTTCATTTTTAAGTGAGCATACTACACTGCAAGTCTAGGAATAGTGGCTTCAATTAAATTCTAAGTTGTTTTTGTTAAGTTACTGGAATTTTGTAGATACATACTTTGGTTATTTAGATATTTTTAGGATAAATATTGTAGCATTGAGGCCGTTTTTAATATAATATGCACGAGGAATATTCTGAGTTTTTTTTTTTTCTTTCATTAGTATTTTATTTAGTAGAAATTTTATCCAACAATCTCATTCTCATTATATTTTGGTATCCAAGAGGTTTCTGCAACATAAAACCCTTGTTTTTTCTTCAAACTAGAACCTCATCTTTTCTGTCTTATGATGCTATTTTTATATGTGTCTCACGCCATTACCACTACGACCTGGGTCATCACCATGACATCTACAGCCACAACAAAAAAAATAAATCTATTGTTGGGTATGAGTTTGGTTCTAAAATAAACCCCTAGAAAACACAGATATCACAGAAGACCAAACATGATATGACATCACCAACACGGAGCTATGATAATTTTATTATTATAGGAAATAACATAGCATTAATATAAATATAGAATTAGCATAAATGATAAAACACAAATCTTAATTTAAAGACAGACTGAATGGTTTAAAAGTGCATATAAGTCATTATGGACATAAATAAAGTGCTCCTACCTCCGATCCCATTTATCAGAGAAAATTTACTCTTTTAGGTTCATTGATTATTCAATGTATCGGGATTGTATCATGGACCAGATACATTGATTATTCAATGAATCTTAAAAGTCAACTTTTTCTTATAAGTAGGACCAGAGGGAGTATTATTTTATAATATTACCGTGGTATTCTCGTTTACATCGATATAGGTATAAAAATTTCAAAAGATAAAGGTAAAAATATGGTGAAATGAAGTATGGAGCATGCAAAGTGTATGACATAGATACTTATCCCTTTACCACATGGATACAATACAGCTACCATTTTTAAGTGTCTTAGCTTCCTTGCTAAATCTTCACCCTTAACTAGATATATCACTTGTCTTAAATGTTACTTGATAGTAATATCATGATTATTACATTGCCACATCTTTAAACAATTCCTCTTGAATTTTATATACCTGCTTATGCCTTGTATCATAAGTTTCACTGATTCAAAAAATTGATGTTTTTTGTCTGGGAGAAAAATCTAATAAATATATCTAGTTTAGCCTTCTAAAATGCTTTTGAATTTCAAACATTATCTGAAAATTACCATGTTATCATCTATTACGAGGAGCGCCTTTGAATGTTGTCAGTCAGGTAATTTAGCAGACATGGTTGGCCTATTACAAATTTTTGGCTCAAATATTTTTCTTGCGATGAAAAGTCTGAATTTTGATTTTGTTCTTACCTGGGCACAGCTGGATAATAAAGTTTTTTTTTATAAAAAAAATACTTGCTATGTCTATCATTCATGACCTCTAAACACAAACTTACATATTTTGCAGGTTTGGGCAGGCAATCCAGCTAAGTTTCTGAGAAAGGTCACCGATGAAGAGAAAGCTTTTATCTCCCAGTCAGCCACCAATTATACTAACCTTGCACAGGTCCATGCAGCTGAAAATTCTAAGTCCTACGATGAAATTGCGTTTGAGAAGGTGCTGCGTAAGAAGTATGCAACGAAAGATGAGGAATATGACTCTATGTTGGGTGTTGTTCGTGAGATCCCACCAGAACTTATTCTTCCTGATAATATCTTGCCTGATAAAGCAAACAAAGCTCTTCAAAATTGAGTTCTTGAAAAGCAGCGTCTTCAATTCTAATCTTGAAATGTCATAAAGGGGTATTGCTTTTTTTTTTCCTTTTCAAATTCATGGATGAGGGATAGTTTTGGATCCTAATAACACCAAACGTTTTCTAGGCTAGAGTTATGGCTCATTCCAAGTTCCAGGAAGCAATTGCTCATAATATTTCAAACTGTGTTCTCCACTTTGAGAAAGGATTGTGTTTGTCGAACTTTAGTGTTTGATGTATTCTATTCCAGTGATTTCATTTTTACTTCTTCCTCGATCTTTTTGTTCAAGACATTCTTCGGCGCGCATAACTTCTTGATGGAATTGTTATTAATACTTATACAGGGCCTTCAACTCCTGCGTTTTTCTGTTGAATGTGGATTGCATATTCCATTTTGTATCTTTTCTAGTCAATTTCAAAACATTGTTTCTTTCAAAAAAATGAAAGAGTTGAGCACTTCACAATTCTGGAACACAGTTTACCTTTTGCAGTGCCATTTAGCATTAAACAACGATGCATGTACTTTCCGTTTCTTTGGACTTATAAATAGTTTTATTACTATTGTTGGTTTTTATGTTGGAGCTTAAGGGTGTAAATTATAAATTTTAAAGCATAATAATAAAACTCTTCATTTTTTTTCCATTGGAAAAATAGTGTTAAGATTAAGTTATTCTAAAGCGTTTCTTATTGTGTCATAGACCATAAAGATATAGCATTGCACCGAAACAAATTAAAAACATTCAAGGTGCTTGATTGATTCAACATTTCCGTATATTGAAATGAACTAAACTCACGTTCCGACAAAAGAATGTTCAACATTTCATTTTATTGTTTGAATATTTTATGATCTGAGTGTAATAAAAAATATTTTTTCGTTCAAATCAGATGGAATAAAAATGAGGATAAATAATAAAATAGAATAAAATATAGTTTTTTATATTCCGTTCTATTTCATCTCATTTTTATTAATCCAAACAATAAAATATAATCTCATTTTTATTAATTCAAACAATTAAATATCATATGATTTTATTCTGATCCGTTCCATTACATTCAACCATTCAAATGAGAACTTATTAAAAGAAACACTTTGCAATGCATGAAAATTAAACTCTAGAAATTAGTACTCAATTCATCCCACCATTTACCTTAGCATGTACTCTATTTGGACTTCATAAAGAAACACTTTGCAATGCATGAAAATTAAACTCTAGAAATTAGTACTCAATTCATCCCACCATTTACCTTAGCATGTACTCTATTTGGACTTCATTTACCTTAACATGTAGAGAAAAAAAATATTTTTATTTGTTATTTTCAAATTTTAATATATTTATTATTGTTGGGTTAAACTAGACCTCAACTTTAAGAACGCAATTGTAGCCACACTCTTTCCCTTGTAGTTGTGAGTCAATTTCTTACTGATTTAATTAATTTTTAATTAGTATAACCGATTCACAAGTTAGTTTGAAGTAGTTGGAGTTCGTTACAATTCAGTTTTTAGCTAGTCGGTAGTTTACTTCCATTTGCATATGAAAATTCTCTTTCGATCCAACATTATCATGTCACCATACATCACTCCTGTTACAAATCAAATCACCAACGTTGATCATTAATTTTGTTTATTACGTTCATCTAGCGAAGGTTTAAATTCTCTCAGTATTACACCTTAACTGAATGTTTTCAACTGTATTTCATGGTCACGATCGATGCAACGTGCTCTTGGCACCAAAAACAAACTAGTTTTCATTGATGATTTCATTCTCGTCCCTGATTTGGTTGATCTCAATCAATGTGCATGGGAACACAATAATTGCTTAGTGCATTTTTGGATTTTGAATTCGGTTAATGCTCTAATAGCTCAAACAATAATGTTCTTGGAGAGTGTTATTGATGTATGGAATAATCTCAAAGAACACTTTGCCAAAGCTTATCGTATACACGTCTCTGGTCTTCGTGTTGAATCAACAATCTCAAACAAGAATAAAAAATTATTCTTGATTACTTTACTGAAATGCATGAATTATTCTTGATTAGTTTGTTACAACAAACAAACTTGATGCCTCGTACACAAATCTCCAATCCCAATCCTAACTCCAATCACATTTCTACATCATCTTCTCATTTTGACCATTCATCAAATGATAATCCAGGTAATTCACAAGTCTCAATTGTCTCATGTTCCATTAATACCAAACCTGAATTTTGGATTATTGACTCGGGTGATAATGACCATGTTTGTTCATCCTTGCATTGGTTCAGTTCATATTACAAAATTATGCCAGTCAATGTGTGTTTACCTCATGGATATGTTGTTGTAGCTAAGTATTCAGCAGCCGTTGATTTTTCACCACATTTATGTCTTACAATTGTCCTTTACACTCATGATTTCTCTTTAAATCTTTTGTTAGTCTCAAGATTATGTCATTCCATTAATTGTGTTATCAAATTTTCTGACAACAAATGTATTATACAGGTTGTGAAATCATATAAGATGATTGGTTTGCCTAGTCAAATTGAAGGTTTTGATTGTAAGATCAGAGTATGCCTAAGAGGAGGGGGGGTGAATTAGGCTTATGGAAACTTTTTCGGATTTTTGGTGTTCTTTAATTTTTCTTTGGTTATGTTCTTGGTGATGAATGCAGTAGAAAGCATAAAGAAAGTGAACACCAAGATTTATAGTGGTTCCCTTCACAATCCGAAGGTACTCCACTCCCCTTTCCACATGAAAGAGAGTTTTCACTATTGTTTTATAAAGTACAACCTATCACACCATCAACCGGTGAGACCTACAATCTAACAACAAAACAAACTAGTGTGCAAGAACAATCCTCTTGCAAAACACTAACCCTTGTGTCCAACAATCCTGGATCACAAGTCACAACAGACTATTCTGTAATTCTTTTTGTAATTGAGAGAACAATAGTAATATCAATACAACGATTGATCTTCTCCTTTAATCTGAATTCACAACTTAATCTCAATACAAGTGTTCAAACAAATGAATGTGAAAGGTTATGCAAGTATGAACACTTTTTGAATGTATTTGAAATTATTTGAAAAGTAGTGAATATGATTCAATGATTGTTTTTGAAAATTGTTGGAGGTGTTTGTTAATCTGAAATTTTCAGAATTTATATCATCCAAAAAACCTTTTCAGAAGGGTATATTTGAGTATGAGTTAACACATGGAAAGGTATAACATTCAAACAATTTTTGAACTTGAAATCAAACAATTTTTCAGAAAACGTTCAGTGTTAATCGGTTAACCATATAGGTTAATCGGTTAACACTGTAACGTTGGCCCAAAGAATTTAAAATTTTAGGGCGTTAATCGATTAACCTATATGGTTAATCGGTTAACACTGTAAAAACTTTGAAAAATTCTTAATTTAAAAGTGTTATACCAATTCTAAATGGTTTTAAAATATGTTAATGCATTATGCAAAAATATTTTATAGTTTTGAACACTTGTATATCAATTAAATTAGAGAATTTGATATACCATAGCTTGTGTCCAAGTCTTGAAAGATGATCGAGCAAATGTACATGAAGCTTGAATGTTGATCACTTCCATAATACTTTGATCTTGGTCTTTTGAAAGCTTTTGACTTTTTGCACAGATGAAATGATCTTGAGTCTTGTTGTTGTTGTCATCAAAACCTTGAAACCTTGAGATGAAGCATGCTTCTACAATCTCCCCCTTTTTGATGATGACAACTACTTACAACCAATTGAGTCTTGTGCAGTGCTTTGACGATTTTTGGTTCTGGTCTTGTTTCTCCCCCTATGTCCATGAACTCCCCCTTTCTAAAAACAGAGGCTAAGAACAGACAAAAATTCTGCACACATAGACATTAGAAAGCCAAAGCTCTTCTCCCCCTTTGTCATTAGCAAAAAGGAAGGAGCTTTCAAACAAAACTAGAAGATATCGACAATTATGAAAGCAATCAAAAGAACAATCAAGTAGGTAAGCAAAACATACGAAAATAGAATTAAACATGCAAAAGAGTACAACCAAAGTAGTGTACGAGTACAACGCAAATGAAACAAAGTTAAGAACATAAACTTAAAACTTAATAACTAGAAAGCAATAAAAGACAGCAACAACAACATATTCTCTAAATGTCCTCATCAGCCATATCCTCCTCGTCTTCTTCTTCTTCTTCACTATCATCTGCTTCTTCAATCTCGTCTTCCACGACCCTGGTGGTTGAATGTTGAGGATTAAGAACAAGGTTGCGGAGAGAGGCAATAACTCTGGAGGTTTCGCGGTGCATATTCATGGATTCCGTATGCTGGTTCATAATGGTAGTATAGATAAACTCACTGGTTAGTCCTCCTTCAGGAATAAGATAGGCTTGATTGGCAAGACCGTCATCTGCATATCGGTATGTTTCGTTAGCTTCCTTGATGATACCCGTATTCTTAACAATGTTGATTTCGTTGACTTCATTTGTGGTAGGTTTCATCTTGGTGGACGGTTCTCTGTTGAGGTCCAATTCGGTCAACTCCAGAATCCTTGAAATCAACCGTGTATACGACAGCCTTGTTATGCAGTGAAGTTGTTGCTGAAGATGGTACATGATAGTCAAAATCCAGTTCACCCTAATTCTGTTCTTGATTGCATACATCAGTTGCATCTCCAAGTCATTAATTTGTGAATGATTTGAATCTTTGGGTATCAGAACATAACAGATCACATAGTGCAGCATTCTATCGGAGACCGTCAGGTTTTTCGCATAACACAGCATGCGGGCGGTCCGAGAGTTTGCTATGACCGTCTCTTTGGGGAACCGGCAGATCTGATAATAATACTCCATTTTGTCATAGTTTGCCCATAACCCATCAACATAGTTGACACCCTTCCTTAAGAAACAACCTTTTGAAGGTATTTTGAGGTGTCTAGCAATGGTGGACAGTTTCTCAGTAAACTCATGTTCTCTAACCACATAACTGATCATATGATTTTCATCAATATCCAGATATATAGCCAATT